GGGGCTTGGATATTTCAGCAAAGGACACCATATTATCAAAAATAATCAAGCCCAAGTCGAACGGAGAACCACATAAAATGCGAAAGATGACCTTTACTTGTATAGGCGTCACAAATTATATGTGCGAGGTGGGAGTCCAGTTCAAGGAGCCAATTTTTTGTGGAGCATTGGCTTGAGGTGTGAGATTCTTCACAAACAAACCAGGGGACAACCACTTGCTCAATTGCCCCCCTGTTATCGTAGTAGCAACTTCATCCAGGTCATCAGTCAGAGGTGGCATAAACAGATATGAACTTTCAGGCAATCCCAGAACTGAGGTGATCATAGAAGGAGAGAATACAACAATGTTGTTCTGATTAAACACTTTATGAAATTTCAGGGATTTGGGATCAAACACACATGTAGACAGGTTAGAGTAAAACTCAGCAATCAATTTGGTACAATATTTCTCCACATTCAAAACGGAATTTTTCTGATCGACTTTCTTCAACAGTTCAACCAGCCCAAGTTTCTCAAAATGATCACCAACAGTAGTACGTTCCGGATGGAATTTCATTTCAGAGAACACATTAGAATAACGAGATTCAGATAGAAGAGAAGAAAATTGACGAGAGAAGGTGTTACGCACAGTGAGACGGCTATCAGTACCATCACCTTCGGCGTTGTCAATAGCTTTGTCGTCCACAGCAGGAGACAAATCCTTTTCAACAGCAACATGGTTGTCGGATTTTTCCGGTTCAGCAACAAAATTTTCAATTTCTTTTTCGGCAGAGTCACCAACATCATCGAAACCAGGTGATGATTCTCCACCAGATTTTGGAGCAGAATCCACGACAGGTGTAGGTTCAGTAACAGTGATGCTCTTTTTGGCCTTTTTTTTTATTTTCCTACAGCAACCTGTTTGAGCTTCTTCTGCTTTTTCGGAGATATAGCGACAGAGGCAGAACCGGTTCCACCTTTGTCGTTCCTACCTGCAACTTTACGGTTAGCCACCTTTGTCGTAGAGGATTTCTTAAGACTTGGTGAAACCCTAGTTTCCAAGGGTTGAGGAGGTTGCTCGTTTTCGACCGCCATGCCAGAACTTGTAGGATTTGGTGGAGTTTCGGTGCTCTGGCTTTGACGAGTTGACCTCCGAGAAGGTTTAGGAGAATCCTTCTTGGTCTTCAGGGATGTCTGTTTTGTTTTCGGCATAATTTCAAGTAGAAGGTCTTCACACAGATAAGGAATGTTAGGAAATTTTTTAGGGTGAGATGCGAAAATCAGAGAGAGATATATGAGTGATGTGAGAAGAAGATATGATAGGGAAAAGAGATTTCGGTTATCGAGGCAAGTGTATCCGATATTACTAGACGGTTCAGCTTTTGAGTTTGAATTTCAAACTTGTGCAACACTTAATGCAAGGTAAATAAAACCGTTCCCTCCAAAACTATTTACTTACCAAAATTTTGACACATTACCAGATATATATGATATGTAGCTTCAGACAAAACCATGGCAGGATTTTTATTCCAAAAATAAGTTAGCATGATTTGGGAACGCAAATCAGTCACTAATGAGATTTTATGCACATGCCTAAAATAATAAGCACACAATTAAGCAAGATATTCCAAATCATGTAATGTCGAGAGAAGTTATACGAACATTCTACAAATCTTTCTAGACCATTCTTTATGAACTCAACACTAATAATGATGAAAAGTCGTAATATGCTAACTCAGCCCTTATATCTCTAACTTTTATATCCCACGGAATTTATATAAGTTTATTCAACATTTTCTCTTAGCAAAGAACGAAAATTTCATTCGCAATTCAGTCCCAATACTTATGATGAACTTGCTTAGTTCTATGAACATCCATACATTTTCACTTACTAATATCAACTATACGCCAATGTCAAGCCCATTACTTGTTGTGTGAATCATCCCGCAAAAATTTTATTTTCCAACACATGCTGAGAAAACGAGTAAGATGGCCATCCCTATTTCACCAGTGAACTTACATTACATAAGTAATGACTACCAGTAACTATAACACCTCAATTATTATTAAGCACGTAACTCGTTTCATAGGTGATCATGATAAACACATCATGTGATAGTTGCCCGATGCTCATTTCATGAGAGCAGCTCTTAAAGGTAGTTTTAAATGATCATCATGACGAGTTCAACCAAATGGACCAGTTCGAATTTGATGGGTGTCGAATCCAACAATAATAAATTCCTTCTTTTAAAAGAACTGTAGTAGTGGTAAGCAGGGTCGTATCCACAAGGATTGACTAGACAAAGTGTCGATGCAACTATTCGTGAAAGAAATAAAAATAAAATGATGGGGGTTTGATGATTTTTATCTAACTAATAAAAATAAAATAAAATAAAATAAAATCTAACTATATACGAAAACAAAATGGGTGATTAAAAATAGAGAAAATATCCAACCAAAGGAAAAACTCGTAGAAATGATTCAACGATTCGATCACGGATGCAATAATAATTCTCCTACTCTCGATTAAACTGGTTATGGTTATTGTTACGACCTAACAACCTATCCTTCCTTACTTGCTCGATAATCAGGATACGATCTCTAATTATTTCTCCAATCGACAGACAACCCTAGATACGATCATAGGATTTAATCTATCAACAACATTGAAATCTAGAAGGACCACCAATTCTAGCCAACAAATGCACATGTAGGATCATTTAGACTAGATCATATATCTCCCTAAGCATACAATCGAAAACCCTTAGTAATCAACTATGCTATTTGCCACAAATATTAGAACGATCAAACAATTACGGATTTAACCATCCTAAATAACAGTATGTGTTTCAACGATCGAACAAATGGCCAATTTGCATCAACAATTAAAACACAATTGATAATAATCACAAGAGATATATAAATAAAAGAGAAGTACGGAATATAAATTCAATTAGATCTCACAAATCATGAAGAACCAAGTCTAGATTAATCCTTTGGCTGGAAAAATAAATTAATTCTCCATAAACATGGGAGAAGCCTCCCAATTATTCATGAAAAAAATAAAAGAAAAGAAAAGAGATGAAGAGAAGAGGTAGCGTGACGTGAGAGGGAGAAGAAGAAGGAAAAAAGAGATAAGATCCTAAAATAAATCTGCAGTCTGGTTTTTAATCAAACCAGTATAATACTAAGCCTAGCAGAAAGTACGTAGAAAATAATAAAGAGATCATTCTCTCTCCAAAATATCCTAATAAAATATAATAGTCCAAAAATAAATAAATACTCCATAAAGTCTTTATTATTTCTCTTTCCAACTCAAGACTCCTCTCTTCTTCCAACTCTTGTAGAAAGTTAGCATGCCCACGCCTTAGCTCAAATTCGTCTCTTTTGCTATCCAATCATCATAAAATTCCAAATTCCGAGATCTCCTACAAAAAATATAAAAATCAATAATTAAGCTTATACAAACACCGAAAAAGTATGGAAAACATGGCAATAAACATGTCAATAATACAACTTATCAAAACACCCCACACTTAAACGATGCTTGTCCTCAAGCATCAAGTCAAATTCATGTCTAATCTCATAAATCATCTCTATCATTTGTTACCAACCCAAAACTATTTTGCACACATCAGAAACATAGCTCAAGAAAGAATCCTTGTTAACCAACATCAATGAATAATCATCTCAACAATCAAATAACTTAAAACACATGAGATTCGACAACTTCTCACTAGATGCACTCAACGCTCGAATGTGTATAGGCTAAATATGAAGTGTACGCTCAAGTTAAGACAATAAAGGATTGTACCATAAGCTTGCAAATATATCACGCTCATCCACCCAAGAATCAATATGAATACACAATATCGAAGGGTTTAAATGGGTTGTAATGGGGTTTAGGTAAGGTGGGATAAAAGGACATATTAGGCTAAGAGAATCAAAGCAATCATACAAACTCTTCACAAATGGAACACATCCCAAAAGAAGCCATTTTGACTGTCTAACTTCACAAAATGTATCTAACGTAACGAATAAAATAGCACAATTCTCTTCATCGTCATTCTCTCCATTTTTTTCTCTTTTTCTTGTTCGATTTTTTTCATTTTTCATTTTTTTTTTTCAGAGAGAAGACAATAACTAGTAGATGTTAGATAACTAGACATCAAACAAACCACAGTCAAGTCTACGCACATAAGCTCATCATGAATACAAAGAATTCATATAATTGCTTCAACTCAAGGTTCAAAGAGGGCATCAACAAAAAAGGATATTGTGGCTTGTAACGTGGCTAATAGAAAGAAAAGGCTAAGGCTCAAACTTGGCTCACTAGGGGTCTATGTAATGGGTAGGCTTTCAAGAAAAAGGCTAAAAACAAAGGCTAATCCTAATACCCTTATTAAAATATCATGCATCCAAATTCATCAAATGAGTAGACAAAGACGTGCATACCAAAGCAAGTTCTAGAGAAACCAACTAGTCAAGACAACACACAATCAAAGAAACAGAGCATGATATTCAACGTATGCTCATCGGCTCAAATCTCACTAAAAGTAAGGTAATATGTGTCGAATCACATGTATTCATCCGTCAATTAATCATCAAGAATAATCAATCACCACGTAGCAACAAGGAATCCAAATCATTTTCATGTGCAAATAAAATCAATTTTTTTTTTTCTTTTTTCACGGATTGACACCAAATGAATCGAGAATAACCACGAGAGACACAATAAACAAGACTCAACTCCTAAGATAATAAATCATCTCGAAATAAAGATAGATATATACGCATACACAAAACTAGAACATCACAAAAGACACCCCACCCCACACTTAAAAATTGACATTTTCCTCAATGGCTCTAACTCAATGCTCAATTAGAACATAGAAAATAAACGCAAGAGAAGTAGAAAACTCCCCTGATTGAGCATCCAGTTGCATTTTCGAGCCAGTTGGCTTGTATGTAGCCATGGAGAATTGGACTCGGATGAATGATGAGTTGAGCCCGTTTTCTTTATGCTTGGCTACTCGTACTTTTGGCTCGGTCCACCGCATCTGAAATCCTCAGACACTTGTTTGAAAGGGTAGAGCAGAAAGCAACCTGGATTCATTAATCGGGCCTGAAAAAGAAACGTGAAGATCGGGACCGAGCGTCGGACCTGCGGCAATTGAATTTTCTGATCATTCAGCAGCGGTCGTCTCTCGGATTGCGGTCGGTGAGAACTCCACTCGCCAGAAAAAGAACAGCAGGTTCGCCGGGAGAAGAGCAGAGGACCGTCGGGTTGCTGCTACGGCGGTCTCACGGCGTACGGTGGTCAACAGTCGTGAACCTGGACAGAGAAGGCGGCGGTCGACGGTCGTTCAGCGTGACTAGCCGGATTGTTTTGGTAGGGCGGCGGCGGCGGTTGTCATCGGGAACAGGACGGTCGCGCGCGGTGGTCGGGTGTGGTGGTTGAGTGACGTGGTCGGTGGAGTGTCGCGGAACAAGAGGGTCGTGCGCGGTGGTCGTCTGAAGGCGACGGCGCTGTAAGAGTTAGGGCTAGCGATTTCTGTGATTTCCTCGCGACTGGTATGAAACAGGAGGGTCCCCTCGGTTGTCGCGACGTGTGCTCGGAGGAAGATAGCCGCGGCTCGCCGGTTTCTTAATTCTGACAGCTGTCTCCGGCGGAGAAGAGAGAGGCGTGACGGCAGCCCGATTTTGTGCCTGAGAGAGAAGTTAGGGATGGGAAGGAGAAGAGTCTCGAGAGTTACCGATTTTTTTTTTATTTTTTTATTATTTTTTTATTAAAAAAATGAAAAACCTGGGAAGATTATTAGTAAAAACAGGAACAAATTTTTTATAAGGCGTGACCACGGCTTATAAAATGAGAACTAGTTCGTCTTGAGCCAAACAAACGTGTCCACGCCTTACAAAAAAAATCGTTTCTACTTTATAATTACTAAAATTCCTATGGCTACTAGAAAAATAACAAAACAAAGAATAACCTAAAAATAAAAAATCAAGAATAAAAATAAAATAGAAAGTTTTGGGTTGCCTCCCAAAAAGCGCCTTTCTTTAATGTCTTCGACTAGACATTATTTTCGGGACTCAACCAATTCCCTTTTTAATTTTTTTCAACTCATGCAAAAGACTTTGTTCTTGATTCTCAATCAAATTCTCAACAATTAATAGTGGCAATTCCACACCTGCAAAATAAAATATGAATCGCCAGTACGAGTAACAGGTGATATGGTATCACTAAGAGAAAAACAATACGACTCATATAAACTATCTTGAAACTCTAGTGAACTATCAAAGGTTGAATCATTGAAAAGTACAACTTTCAACTTATCCAAACCACTCGAGTCAAGATTTTTCGACACTTCAAATTCACCAACACCCATATAATCACTATGAGACAAATCACTTGCAGATCGAAAAACCACAACTCGTTCAGATTCCTCCATGAATTCTTGCTCTATCTTAGGAGATTTCGTCAACTCTGTAGCACAACTCGAGGTATCTACCACCGTATCTAATGACAATTCAAATCGAGATGCGGTTTCGCTCACTGAGGACACAAGTTGATCCAGTCGATCTGCTAGATTCTTAAGGCTACTCTTAGTCTCTTGTTGAAACTGTAAAGTACTAAGCATAAGCGACTTAACAATTTCTTCAAGAGATGTGATCGAACTCGATGAATATTGCTGTTGGGTAGGCGAGTAATCACCCCACCACTCAGAGTTGTAGCTATCATAAAATCCATCAAAGCTACCTCGTTGCGGCTCTTGAAAATTTCCAACTTGAGAATGCCCTTGAGGTTCATATAGAAATGTTGGGCAAGAACAAGTTAGGTGTTGAGCGTCACCACAAATTCCACAAAACTCAGATTGGCACATGCTTTCCATGTGATAACCATTTTGCTCGAACTGCTGAGAATAAAACTCCATAAAATGTAAGCCTCTTGCACAAAAGAATAGTGCACCAAAACAAGTCTAATTAGAAACCAATCCCCGGCAACGGCGCCAAAAATTGATGGGTGTCGAATCCAACAATAATAAATTCCTGCTTCTAAAAGAACTGTAGTAGTGGTAAGCAGGGTCGTATCCACAAGGATTGGCTAGACAAAGTGTCGATGCAACTATTCGTTAAAGAAATAAAAATAAAATGATGGGGGTTTGATGATTTTTATCTAACTAATAGAAATAAAATAAAATAAAATAAAATCTAACTATATACGAAAACAAAATGGGTGATTAAAAATAGAGAAAATATCCAACCAAAAGAAAAACTCGTAGAAATGATTCAACGATTCGATCACGGATGCAATAATAATTCTCCTACTCTCGATTAAACTGGTTATGGTTATTGGTACGACCTAACAACCTATCCTTCCTTACTTGCTCGATAATCAGGATTTGATCTCTAATTATTTCTCCAATCAACAGACAACCCTAGATACGATCATAGGATTTAATCTATCAACAGCATTGAAATCTAGAAGGACCACCAATTCTAGCCAACAAACGCACATGTAGGGTCATTTAGACTAGATCATATATCTCCCTAAGCATACAATCGAAAACCCTTAGTAATCAACTATGCTATTTGCCACAAATATTAGAATGATCAAACAATTACGGATTTAACCATCCTAAATAACAGTTTGCGTTTCAACAATCGAACAAATGGCCAATTTGCATCAACAATTAAAACACAATTGATAATAATCACAAGAGATATATAAATAAAAGAGAAGTAGGGAATATAAATTCAATTAGATCTCACAAATCATGAAGAACCAAGTCTAGATTAATCCTTTGGCTGGAAAAATAAATTAATTCTCCATAAACATGGGAGAAGCCTCCCAATTATTCATGAAAAAAAATAAAAGAAAAGAAAAGAGATGAAGAGAAGAGGTAGCGTGACGTGAGAGGGAGAAGAAGAAGGAAAAAAGAGATAAGATTCTAAAATAAATCTGCAGTCTGGTTTTTAATCAAACCAGTATAATACTAATCCTAGCAGAAAGTACGTAGAAAATAATAAAGAGATCATTCTCTCTCCAAAATATCCTAATAAAATATAATAGTCCAAAAATAAATAAATACTCCATAAAGTCTTTATTATTTCTCTTTCCAACTCAAGACTCCTTTCTTCTTCCAACTCTTGTAGAAAGTTAGCGTGCCCACGCCTTAGCTCAAATTCGTCTCTTTTGCTATCCAATCATCATAAAATTTCAAATTCCGAGATCTCCTACAAAAAATATAAAAATCAATTAAAATCAATAATTAAGCTTATACAAACACCGAAAAAGTATGGAAAACATGGCAATAAACATGTCAATAATACAACTTATCAGAATTCATAAGACATTAGATAATATTCTCATATGACAAATTATTCAGAGGAAGTCCTTGGGATGAACCTAAAATCTAGGATGTCTAATGCAAAACAATTCTAAGATGAAGAACTACGGATATATATATATATATATATATATATATATATATATATATATATATATACACACACACAAATGGGTGCATATGCAACATGCATAGATATTAGATAGTACACATTCCTAAGGATTTCCTTAGGAACAGAAAGTGTTTTGAATCAAGTGCCTTTGTAAAAATATCAGCAAGTTGGTCATCTGTGGGTACATGATCCAACATAATAGTTCTGTCCTCCACCAAATTACGAATAAAGTGATAACGAATGTCAATATGTTTGGTACGTGAATGTTGGACGGGATTTTTTGAAATATTTATTGCGCTGGTGTTGTCACAGAAAAGTTGAGCCGAATGTACCTTCATACCATACTCAGAGAGGATTTGTTTCATCCAGACTAACTGAGAGCAACAGCTTCCTGCGGCAATGTACTCAGCTTTAGCTATGGAAAGAGAGATGCAGTTTTGCTTCTTGCAGAACCAAGAGACTAGATTTGATCCTATATAGAAGCAACCCCCGGAAGTACTTTTCCTATCATCCAGATTTCCAGCGGAGTCTGCATCGCAGTAACCTACAAGGTGTAGGTTTGTATCAGTAGAGTAATATAACCCATAGTCTGATGTACCTCCAATGTATTTGATGATGTGCTTGACTGCCTTCATATGAGATTCTTTGGGAGCAGACTGGTACCTGGCACAAAGTCCAACACTAAAACAAATGTCAGGTCTACTGGCAGTAAGATACAAGAGACTACCAATCATACTTCTGTAAAGTGTTTGATCTACAAATGAACCTTCATCATCCTTAGACACTTTCACATGAGTGCCCATAGGAGTTTGAGGGTTTTTTATAATTTTCAAGACGAAACTTTTTAACAAGGTTTCTAGCATATTTACTTTGATGCAAAAAGATACCATCTTTACCTTGCTCACCTGAAGACCAAGAAAGTATGAAAGTTCACCTACCAGACTCATTTCAAATTCCAAAGACATAAGCTCGACAAAATGATTGATCAGTTTCTTTGAGGTTGACCCAAATATTATATCATCTACACAGATTTGAACCACCAGAAGGTCAGTATTGGTTCTCAAGGCAAAGAATGTCTGATCAACTCCCCCTCACTTGAAACCCTTCTCCAGAAGATACATAGTAAGTCTTTCATACCAAGCACGAGGTGCTTGTTTCAGTCTATACAGTGTCTTCTTGAGTCTGTAGAAATGGTTAGGGTATCTGGGATTTTTGAACCCTTCAGGCTGCTTCACATAAGTTTCTTCATGCAAGATTTCATTCAGAAATGTTGACTTCACGTCCATCTGAAAAACAATGAACTTCATTAGACAAGCAATGGATAAAAATATATGTAACGATTCAAGCCTTACAACTGGAGCAAAGGTTTCATTAAAGTCTACTCCTTGAGTCCAAGTGTATCCTTGTGCAACCAATCTGGCCTTATTGCGAGTCACATTACCGAACTCATCGGTTTTGATTTTCAAGATCCATTTGGTTCTGATAATATTTCCTGAGGAAGGTTCAGGGAAAAGTTCTCAGACATTGTTTCTACTGAATTGCTCCAATTCTTCTTTCATGATAGAGATCCAACATTCATCCTTCAGTGCCTCTTTTGCATTCTTGGGTTCTATCAAGAAAGTGTAGCACGCAAAGTGAGAGATTCCCATGAGTTCCTTAGTTGAAGTTTTTGAGTTTTTGGTTACCCTCTCGTTTAAATCTCCAATAACTAGTTCTGGCGGATGAGCTTTCTTAATCTTCAAAGGTGGATCACTTTTGTGTTCAACTTGATTTCCAGATGTAATAGGAACATTGTATTCCATCTGAATTTCCTGTGAGCCTACCATTGCACATGAACCTGCTTCATTCTCACTCTCTTTACCAAGGGCCGTATGCTCAATTTGAGTATCTTGCTCACTCGTAACATTTTCAACCAATTAATTGACATAGATGAATCAACATTAGGGGTTTTCTCATCAAACATTACATTCATGGATTCTATAACAGTGGAGGTACTTGTGTTGTATACACGGTATGCTCAACTATTATTAGAATATCCAGGAAAGAACCCTACATCACATTTAGCATCAAATTTCCCTAGTTGTTCATGATCATTATAGATAAAGCACTTACACCCAAACACATATAGATGACTAAGGTTGGGACTCTTACCTTTCCAAAGTTCATAAGACGTCAACCCCATACCTCGACGAAGGTACACTCTGTTCACAAGGTAGCATGCAGTGTTAATTTCCTCTGCCCACCATCTATGAGAGATTTTCTTGGAATTCAGCATCACCCTCGCCATTTCTTGAAGAGTACGGTTCTTTCTCTCGACAACTCCATATTGTTGAGGTGTCTTAGGTGCAGAAAACTTATGAAAAATACCGTGAGAGTTACAAAAATCTGAAAATTCTCTATTCTCAAATTCACGGCCATGATCACTCCTAATGCTAGTTATAAGAAATTCCTTTTTATTTTCCAATATCAGACAGAGGGTTTTAAAAGCAATAAAGGTATCAGATTTTTCAGGCAAAAAATCAACCCAAGTATATCGAGAGAAGTCATCCACGCATACATAAATATACTTCTTACCTTGATAGCTCTCAACCTAAATCGGTCCCATCAAGTCCATGTGGAGTAGTTCCAGAACTTGCTTTGATGCAATATGGTTCAAGGTTTTGTGTGATGCTCGAGTCTGTTTTCCAAGTTGACACGGTTCGCAAATGGGTAGCTCTTTCATGAAAATCTTTGGAACTCCACGAACCACACCTGTATTTGAAATGTTGACCAAGTGAGAATATCCAATATGACCTAAGCGTTGATTCCAGATTTCAGATTCACTAACAGTTGCTTGAAAACATTTTTCATTAAAGTCAACAAGATAGCAGTTGTCAGTTGATCGAGATCCAGTAATCACACATGTACCTTCATTATTTTTTTACGAAACACTTATAACGAGAGAAACTGACACTAAGACCTTGGTCACAAAGTTGACTCACACTTACGA